GGAGATCCTTCCCTGATGTGAAAATTACAATCCTGATCTTCAAGACATTCTTGATTTGGAGAATAGAAACTAATGCCACTTCACTAGCTAAATAGAAATATTCCTTAAATATTCCTAACTACCTGTTCTAATTCTTTGTTTACTAAGCTCACAGTGACCCATAACTGTATATAAGTTGGCCTCTTGAAAGAGTTGCTTACCAAGAAGGTTCTAAGCTAAGATCCTGGTGTGTAATCTGGCCAGAGAAAGAAATATCCTGTTGTTAACTGGCAAATGGGCAAGTTTATACATAGATCCTTTAGTCACTTGAGTTTTCAGAAATTGTATTTTGGTTCCCCTGGGTCTGGATACCCTGGAAGGCAGGGATAAAGTCCTGTGATAAAATTCCACTCCTACCCCTATAGAGCAGAGGACTGATTAAGGAACTCTGCTTTACCTTGTCAAAGTGTGGACAATGGGGAGGGCTTATCTCAAGTGGCCAGGCAGTTTCTCCTTTTTGTCATCTCTTTTAACTTTAATTAAAATGCAGTGGCCAAAATGTATAAATAAATAGAGACCACGGTGCTACATCTAAAATCATTTCAATAAACCTGGCATCAGGCCACCAGTGTGTAACCCACTTGCCACCTGCATTTCACATCACTTCATTGTTTAAACACTCAAGCTTCCAAAGGAGCAGAGGATTGAATGCAGGACACCAGCTCTCTGAGATGCCATGGCCCCTTCCCCCTGATAATCAGGGAAACTCCTTGCAAACAACAGCAGAGGGAATGAGAGGAAATGGCGCCAGTGGACAAACAGGGCTTACTCTTCTTCTCTGGAAGATTCAACCATTCAATCAGCGTATTTTCTTTCTGAGAAGCAAAGCATGCTCAACTCTACAACTTTGCATCTCAATATCAGAAGACCATATTTATTTATTTATTTTTTTAAATTTTTTTTTAAAAATTTTTAGTTTTTGGCGGACACATCTTTCTTTGTATGTGGTGCTGAGGATTGAACGCAGGCTGCAAGCATGCCAGGCGAGCGCGCTACCGCTTGAGCCACATCCCCAGCCCAGAAGACCATATTTAGACCTGTTGTTCCCAGCCAAGATAATTTTATTCCATTTTGCGTGTTTTAGACACTACTTCCTTTCCCTGGCTCCCAAGTCATCTCTTACTCAGATGCTTTTTTAGGAGCAAGACAATTAGTCTGCATGCTCCTTGTTATCATAAGGAATAATAATCTCACCATTAAAGAATACCAAAATATGTGACCTATGGGTGGCCAACTCCTCCTCAAGGAGCAAGAGAATGGCCATTTAATCAAATTCCATCAGTCATGCTAGCATTATACTTCCATTTGGAGACATCTGTTTTTGAGGGGGGAATACTAGGATCCCAGGGGTGCTTTACCACTAAGCTATGCCCCCAGTACTTTTTTTTTTGTACTGTGCATTAAATCCAGGGTCACTTAACCAGTGAGACACATCTCTAGCCCTTTTATTTTTTAATTGGAGACAAGGTCTTGCTAAGTTGCTGATTTTGAACTCATGATCTCCTGCCTCAGTCTCCCGAGCTACTGGGATTACAGGCATGTGCCACCACACTGGCTCCCAGCCCTTTTAATTTTTTGAGACAGGGTCTTGCTAACTTGCTGAGGCTGGCCTTGAATCTGTGATTCTCCTGCCTCAGCCTCCTGAGTCACTGGGATTGTAGGCATGCGCCACCATGCCCAGCTAGGAGACATTATTCTTTAAGTTCTAAAGGACAGTGAAAAATGTGCAGATCAATGAGATTTGTAATATTTTTTCTTTTAATGGCACATGTTTCAGGCTGGGTGCAAGATGACTAACTAGATGCTTTAGGACAGTTAGCCTGAAGACCCAAGTAATCAGTGTCATCTCAAGGTCAGCCATATTGCTAGTGTCAAAGAGGCAGTGAGGCCACCTGCTGGAAAACTTAGGCATTGCTCTGGCTACTAGCTCCTTGCTCCTTCCTGGCCTTGAGTCAGGTCTATGGCAAGACCATGATCTTTTTCTCCAGCTTCTGTGGTGGGAACAAGAAGTTTCTCATGATCTCATCCAGTTCCTCCAGGGCCAGCTGGGCATGGAGCTTGGCCACATCATCAGACTCCAAACGCACCACGTGCTTCAACAGGTGGTAGAGATCCTTGAGGACGTCTCTCAGCACCTGTAAGAGACAGATAGGGTCATGACCATCTGTCTACTAGGAGGAAACCCATAGGCTCCCTTAAGAAGATAGTGAATAGCCCTCAGGTTGGAGAAGCAGGGAGGGGTGGCTGTGGCACTTGTCCTGAGATAGGTTTCCCTTGTATTTCTCTTTACCCCAGATGCCTCACTGCATAGCTTTGGGAACTGCTATTCCTCTTTACTCTAGGACCAAGGATACATCCCAGACCTATTCCTTTAGTCCCAAAGCCTGGCAGATATCTCTGGACCACAGATGGGCAAGGCTGCCCACATAACAATCACTCTCAAAACAACTGACTACTAGCATGTTCCTCTCAAGTCCCTAGAAAGTCCCTTGCCAACATCCACACAGGTATTTACCTTATGAAATTCAGGAGGCTACTTCTTCAGCAATTATGCCTTTATGCCCCTACTTTTATAATTTTTCACTGAAGTTCCATTTCCATATTTCCCCCCCCATATATATGTGTGTGTGTGTGTGTGTGTGTGTGTGTGTGTGTATGTATGTATGTATGTATATGCACATATATTTCAATTGCCACTCTGTGAAGGGAAACAAGAGGACTGCATGGATGGACCCACACCCATTTTTCACTACCAATGTTTTGATCTCATGGTCTGATATGGAATTTGGGAGGGTTCTAAAAGCACCTGCCCCCAGTACCTACTATTTTCCTACAAAATCTTCTGAGTTTCTCACTTGGGAGTGAGAACTACTGGCAAGAAGCAGGTTTCAAAGAAATAGGGAAACTCAGAGTAAGGGGGATTTAGGGACCATCTGATCAAACTAGGGACAGAAGACAATAGGTCACAAGGAGTCATCTGACTTGCCTGAAGCTATGTGCGGAGTTACTTCTGGTCTGGGGCTTATTGCCTCAAAACCTACTATTTTGGGGGCTAAGAACTATATTAGATACTTTCTACATATTTTCTAATTTTATGCAGGTTAACTCAGGAAAAACCTGGTAGGGGGTTGGGGATGTAGCTCAGTGGTAGGGGTGCTTGCCTAGCATGTGTGAATCTCTGGGTTCAATCCTCAATGCCCCCTTAAATCAAATTAAACAAAAAACTAGTAAAATCAGGTTTCTAATTCCAGAGTCTGTGTTCTTATTTTATATTTTTATTGAAAAGCTAATATAGTACAAAAAACACACATAAAAAATAAAAATAAATAAAAAACCCCACACACCTACACATTAAAAAATCAGGTGTTGGGCTGGGGATGTGGCTCAAGTGGTAGCGCGCTCGCCTGGCATGCGTGTGGCCCGGGTTCGATCCTCAGCACCACGTACAAACAAAGATGTTGTGTCCGCTAAGAACTAAAAACTAAATATTAAAAAAAATTCTCTCTCTCTCTCTCTCTCTCTCTCTCTCTCTCTCCTCTCTCACTCTCTCTTAAAAAAAAAACCAAAATCAGGTGTGATGGCACATGCCTGTAATCCCAGTGGCCCAGGAGACTGAGACAGGAGGATTGCATTCAAAAACAGCCTCAGCAATGGTGAGGTGTCAAGCCACTCGGTGATTTCCTGTCTCTAAATAAAATACAAAATAGGACTGGGGATATGGCTTAGGGGTCACGTTCCCCCGAATTTAATCCCTAGTAGCCAGGAAAAAGAAAAAAAAAAATCAGGCTCTTGGGGCTAGGGTTGTAGCATAGTGGTAGAGCACTTGCCTAGCATGTGTGAGGCACTAGATTCGATTCTCAGCACTGCATATAAATAAATAAAATAAAGGTCCATTGACAACTTAAAAACAAACAAAATTCAGACTCTTGTTGGGTGCAGCGGCACATGCCTATAATCCTAGTGACTCTGGAGGTTGAGGCAGGAGGATGGCAAGTTTGAGGCCAGACTCAGCAACTTAGTGAGGTCCTAAGCAACTTAGTGAGACCCTGTCTCTAAATAAAAAAAATGGCTAGGAATGTAGCTCAGTGGTAAGGTGACCCTAGGTTCAATCTCTGGTATCAAAATAAATATTAAACAAATATATACATAACTAAATATATATATTTTACAAATTTTATATATATATAATATATATATATATATATTATTCAAAATTACTAAGAGTACACAACCTCCTCTCCACCCAATGCTGGGGATCAAACTCAGGGTCTTTTTCATACTAAGCACATGCTCTAGTACTAACCTACACCCTCAGTGTCCCCTTTTGTACCTTTTTAATATTTTTTTTATGAGATATTACCTATTAAAAGTGATTAGGTGCTGGCTGTGGTGGCACACTTTTTAAAAATTTTTTGGTACCGGGAATTGAATTCAACCACTCAATCACTGAGCCACATCCCCAGCCCTATTTTGTATTTTATTTAGAGACAGGGTCTCACTGAGTTGCTTGGAGCCTCGAAGTTGCTGAGGCTGGCTTTGAACTCGCAGTCCTCCTGGGCCAGTGGGATTACAGGCATGTGCCACCATGCCCAGACTGGCACATTTTTAATGATAGCTACTCGGAAGGGCAGGAGAATTGTAAATTCAAGAACAGCCTAAGTGTTCTAGGTTCAATCTGTAGTACCAAAAAATAAAAATAAATAAATAAATAGGCATACATTTAAGTCAATTCACTATTAGGTAAAGATTGTTAAGTCCATTTAACAGAATAGAACCTACTCTTAAAAGGCTTACCATCAGGAAAGGCAGGAAAGAGAAGACAATGTGCACACAAAGAATTTAAAACTGAACATGGTAAAGGTCCTAAGACAGCAGAGAAAGTGATTAGAGTTCAAAGGAAAGGGAAGGTACATTTTAGGAACAGTTAATGAACTGGAAATGGCAAGTGTAAATGATGAGAAATGAATTTGATGAGTGACAAGCAAGTGGTCTGGACCCAAGGTCCGCAGGGCATTTCACATAAGCATACTAAGTGTGTGGCACCACTTCTTGGACTTGCTATAGGAATATACAGCAAGCCTTCCTATCTTTTGAGGACCTTTGTAGTGTGGTTATTGGGGAAGGGGAAGAAAGCAGGTGATAAGGCTACCCAGGACTTGCCTTTGCCTAGCTGGTTTCCCTTTGGCTGCCTGTGTCCAGCTGTGTGGACCTTCTTAATTTCCTTTCCTGAGCAAAGCTCCTTCCTAGGTCAAAGCCCTTGCATATGCTATTACCAACTGGAAGACTTGTGCTTCCTCTTCACTTACAACTCTTCCACCCTCTGCCTAAATTGCCATTGAGTCCTCAGGGATTCCTTCCCTAGCTCTACCTGCTAAGCCCTTCTTAAGCCTTCTTCCTGTGGTTCTGTTTGTAGCCCCTATCACAATCATGTTTTAAGTATTTATTGGGTGATTTTATTTATTTATTTGTGCTGGGGATTAAATATTATATAATTTTAAAACTTTCTCCTTATAAATCATAGGTACTATTGACACTGAGGCCAGATCTTGCCTTTTTCACTCTGGTATAGCCACAGTGCCTCATATCTGCACATGGCAGATGTCATAAAATACTCATGAATGAAGGAAGGCATGTATGCCATTCCTGGCCAGTCTCTGACTTTGTAAAAGCCCAAATTCTAAGAATATCTACTGAACAATGCCAGACAACCAGGGCTGGCTTCATGAGTATGTGACCTGTGAAGTTACACTAGATTCTATGGTAAGGGGCCCCATTTTGCTTGGTTTAATGATATACTGTTGCAATCTTGAAGTTCTTAATAATTTTGTCTTTGAACTTTTGTTTTGTAAGTGAAGTTCAATGGACAATGAAGCATGAATGTGAGCAGAGATTGTGCTATTTGCATGTCAGTGCATTTGCCTATAGGTCACTGTGCCCTATAAGCACAGAATTCACTCATATGTGGGACAAGACTCAAGCCTATCTGTTATATTTACAATTAAGCAAATAGAGGCGCTGACAGCCTGGAGAGGCCATACTTTCCATTCCAACTAGAACTTGCTTCTAACACAGAAAGACGGCAACAGCTTTCTAAGAACTTGGATGACCAAGGAACCCTATCAATCCTTTTTTACTCATTTATTGCCATATTGTAGCCAAACATTTACACCAAAAAAGAAGACACAGAGGCTGGAGATAAAGCTCAGTCGGCAGAGTGCTTGCCTTGCATGAATAGAGCCCTGGGTTCAATCCCCAGAACCACCAAAAAAAAAAAAAAAAAAAAGAAGAAGAACAGATGGAAGAAGGACACCTAGAGTGTTTTTTGTTTGTTTGTTTGTTTTTTTTGTATTGAACGCAGGGATGTTCTACTATTGAGCTAGATCCCCAGCCCTTTTTATTATTTATTTTGAAGACAGGGTCTTACCAAGTTGCTGAAGCTGGCCTGAAACTTGGTATCCTATTCCTCAGCTTCCTGAGTAGCTAGAATTACAGGTGTGTGCCAGTGTGCTGGGCTCTTTCATTTCTTGTTATCATTAAAGCAAAGATAGTGTTGGTAGCAGGTGCATGTATCATACAAATTCTGTAATTTTGGTGATTCTGCATATAAGTTAAATGTTCTTATATTTGCATTTAAAATTGGCGTCTCATAAAATAAAGATGAGCAGTAAAACTGATGCTGGTAATTTCACATTTTAGTTTCTCTCTACTTAGAATAACATTAATAGCAAATAATAAGAACATGACAAGTTGAGAGGGAAACTGTGGAAAAAGGAAAAAACTTCATATTTTATTACATTAAAGGATTTTTTTTCCTTTTCTTTTAACATTTGATTTTGCACTGGGCTGCACAGATTATAGTCAGCCCTGCAGACTACTCTCAATGAATGCTCCTTGTCCAGTGTCACCATGTTAAGTGCCTCAGTCCTAGGAGCCAATCTCACAAAGATACTGCCAGATGCTTGCAGAGTAATTATCTCAGACTTTTTCAGAGAGCTGCAGAGACAGAATGGGAGTTAGGTCTCCTGGCCCAAACTAAGACACTTTCCTGCCTGGCCTTTCATAACCTATCTTTGGGGTGAGAAAGTTCTTTCCTCCAGGCAGAGAGTGAAAATGAGATGATTCCAGGAAAGACAAT